TGAGAATGAAAGATTTGTAGGGTTCGGTTTCGGTGCAGGTCTCAAAACTTTCGCACGCTCTAGAAATGGCAACAGCAGCGACGCCACAGTTCCACGGAAAAATGACGAAAGCGATGCGAAACCCATTGAAATGTTGGCGCCGCACACGGCCCGGCACCGGACTGAGAGCCAGCCCTCCACTTAGCCCGCCTGATTAGCAGGGCAATCGATTGATCCCCCTACTGAAAGGGGGTGAGGAGGGGGTGGTGGGGGACTGCCAAAACAACTTCCATGACTGACTGCCTCGCCCCTAAAAAACTAACACAAAACTGTTGATCCATTAACACGTTTTGCTGTGATCCGAAGGAGGCGTGCGCGCACACTCCCCACGGGTTGGGGGAGGCAAGTGCAAGGGGGGGGTGGCAACAGCAGCGGCAGCCTGTTGGGCAAACACAGCCGCCACAGCGCGCACGCTGCAGTGGAATATTCCCACAGTTGCGTCAATGCCAGGAGATCAAAAAAACATCACAAAAAACGCCGCGCAAATAAATCACAAAAGCCAATAATAACAGAAAAGTAATAAAATCAATGATAGAAACGAGACGATTGATACCCTGCAACGAGACCCATCGAGGCACAAACCATTCCGACCAATTTTGCCCCTTAAAAAAGGGGGAGAGACACACCTTTAAAGATCCTTCCTTCTAGCCTTTGTGCGGGGCAAATCTCTGATCAAAAGCGTAGAACCCCCTTCTTTGAGGGTATCGAAATGTGCCAAGTCAATAAAGCAGCGAAAAAAAAAAAAAAACCTGGTAACAGCCATGGCAAATGTTAAACGACTGTCGCTGCCGGTGCCGGTGCCACAGCCAAAACCCCACTCCTAGAGCCCAAGCAAACCCCAACCCAAATCGAAACCGAAACCCTGATGATGAGTGTTAATTTCCAGAGCGGTGTAGGAATTGGGAGTGGGCGTGAGTGGTTGGAGTGGCTGGAGTGGCTGGAACTGCCACCGGGTCTCTGTGCTGACGTCCCCAAAAAACCGCGATGCGATGACTTTACCCTGGTGCTAATCGGCTGTACCAACAGCACCGCACATGTTGACACATCTCATTGACATGGCTCAAATCGTTCATGTAAACCATGAAAATTTTCCACTTCCAAATGCCAGGTCAGACGCCCAGATCCAGACACCCTCCCCCCCATCCCTCCCACAGCTTCTGTTTCTTCGGTACCCCCAAATGGCATTTCCATTTGGCACGCGCTTTTGTGGCGCCTCTATCAGTGGGGAGCCGGACGGTCGATAAGTTTTTGATGGGGCTTCTGGTTGTCCGCGTATTGAAAGGCTGCGCCGCTTCAGGTAATCCCTTGTGCGGATAGGGCTTAGACACCTGTTTGAAGCTCATCAGTAGAGCGATTCGCCAGAGTTGGACATACATCAAGCCTATTTATTTATTAGTGGAGTCGGTCGCATGGCAAGAACTTGACACACTTCTTTGGAGCACCTTTAAGGGCAGTGTTTTTTGGACGAGAGCCATCCTTATATGATCGGGAAAACTTAAACTACTATCAAACAGAAGGGAAGACGTTTCCGTATCTATTCTATACTCCTACTCATCTACTTCTTCTACTTCTGGAAGAATATTTCATTAGAATATTCACTCTAAGATCTCAGAATGTACACCAATAGATTGTCTTTGGGAGTGGAAATTGTAAAAAGGAATTTTACGTAAATTTTGGTATAATTTTAACAATATTTGATTTTCATTTTTTTTTTGTGTAATTTGTATTTGACTATAAAATATTATCACAGGAACAAACAACAATCACAGGGAAAATTACCATTATTTAAAATAAACAAAAAATAAAGAAGCGTGTCAAGTTCGTAGAATTTTGAGGGGGATATTATCTGTACAGGTTTCTAGGGTAGGGGTCATCTTAGATCATCCTGTTGGGCAGGTCGACTGGATGTGTTCTGATTTAAATATATAAAATAATTAAAACAATTTATTTAAAAATTTTTTTTTCATATTTAGGTTACACATATATTCCTAAATTATTATTATTTTTTCTTTTTTTTTAGATTTGTAATTTTTAATATTTGTTGTGACTGTTGTATAAGTGGCTCTAACAGTAAATTCATACAACATAATTTGTACCAGTGATACTATTTTATAATCAAAAATACAAAATACAATCCTAATTATTTAAAAAAAAATTTTTAAATATATAATTTCTTTTTAATATTTTTTAAAATTATATTTATATGTTAAAAATATTTCCCATAAATTATTATAAAAAAATTTAAAATTTAATTTAATTTAAAATTAAATTATGGACTGTGTTCGAAGAATTTTATAATTAATTTATATTTAAATCAAAGGTAATTCTATGTTATATGTTCAATATGCTTGTCTATAGAAACGGAATAATTATTGAATTATTTTTAGCATGGTGGTGTGCTGATACTCCGTCTACTCCTTCGACAATCCTTGGACACCTTCAATACCCTTCTAACGAGCACACCTGTAGAATAAACCCCCCTTTTGGATCCTAATGGGATCGAATCGGAATGGTATTGGTGATGGCGATGGCGATGGTAATGGAACCTACCACATGACCAATAACTGCGCCATTTCCAAATCCATTTCACATTTCATTGAAAGAAAGAAACGAAACGAAATTGCGTGACAGAAAACGTGATTCGAGTGGGTTCCCATTTGCGGTATTTTTTGTTTTCCGTATTCCTTTTTTTTCGAGTTTTATTTACGAGTTTTTGTTGTTGTTTTTTCTTGTATTTCATTCTATTTTGTTGCTGTTGTTGTTGTTGCTGTTGCAGTATTGGGCATTCTGTTTTGCATTTATTTAATTCTTTTTTTTTGTTGTTACAAAATTTAGTTTTATTTTTACTGGATTTTGTGCGGGTTCTCGGTTGCCCAAAATAAACAGCTATATTTATTTGAGGAGAAATATTTTGCCTGCCTCTGCAGTTTCCTAACCAAACGGTGGGGATGCAGGGGGTGGGGATGGGGGCCTGCCTGCCTGTAAGTGGAAACAGAACAGAAATTCAAGAAAAGGGCAGGGGAGGGGAAGGGAAACAGAACAGAACAGAACAGAACACAGAAATCAAATTGCAAATGAATGTGGATACATATAGCGGAATACCGTTGGGCATTTTGATGGGGCACGGGGGTCCCAAAGAGATTCCATTGGTGGGCAGGCCACAGTTGCAGCGAGTGGATCGAGTGGATCGAGTGGATTCGAATAGCGTCGTACGATCAGGTTGCTCGATGGAAATTCTTTTTGCAGCCGGCGGCCTGCTCCCCGTTTCCGTCGGTCACGTGCCGCTCAAGGTGATAAGGTGGTGCCGGGCAGGCAGGCAGTCCGGCCGTGTGGCGTAAGTTTCAAGTAAACAAGAGCCCCCCTCCCGCTCCCTTCGATTCCGTTCGATTCCGTTCCCCTATCAGGCGGCATATACACAGCCCCACTCGTACTGTGTAAATATCTGGACTGGTGGAGTGTTGTTTTTTCTTGTCTTTGGAGTACCGCTAATTTCGCAGTCCGCAGCGACTGCCGTGCCGTGCCGTGCTGTACCGTGCCGTGCCGTGCCGTGCCGTGCCGTTCCTTGTAAACTGTAAACTGAGTGGTGAATAAAATGGCTTAGGTTAGTTAGCCCACACCCCCACCGCCCCCCCGCCAATCGATGGAAAACTGACCTTGGTCAGTGGGGGGGGGAACGGGGGAGCCGCAGCTGGAGGGCCACTTGAACTACCGCCAGAAAGTTGAATGTCAAAGCCAGCAACTGGTTCGTTTGTTCGTTCGTTCTGTTGTCTATTCGCGGCACGTCTCTAAGCCGAAAAGCGAGACGAGAACTGCAAAACAGAAAACAAACGGAAAACAAACGACCTTGCCTGTTTTTGTAACTGCGTTTGGGCCCCAATTCGGAACTAGAATCAACTGGTGGCTGGTGTCTGGTGGCTGGTGGCTGGTGTCTGGTGCCTGGGGTCTGTCTGTTCGTCCTTGAACCCGCCAACAAATAGTTCACTGGCACCTAACATTTCCGAGAGATCTCTCTGTCGCGTCGCACTCATTTCATATGCGAAATACGGCGCTGCCTCTAATCAAAAGTCGCAAAACAAGTTCAATGGCTTCCAAAAATACAAAAAAAAAAAAAAACAGCTCCCCAAAGCCCCAACAAAGCGCAGCTACAAATATCACTCCCCGTACCACTACTCGCACGAGATGGGGGTGTCAAGAGCAGTCAACACAAACCGTTTTGCCTTTTCTGTATACCCTAACACACGACAAAAGGGTATTTCAAGCTCAAAGGGATTTTTGGAACCCCAAAGAAAGGTATTTCTGAACCAAAAACCACCCCTTACTCTACCAAAATTAAAAAAAAAAAACTTTCACCTTGAAAAAAAATTCCAACTCATTAAATATTAAATATTTACCAGAAAGCAGGAATATTTAAATTAAATATTCGGTTGTTAAATATGAAAATAGTAAAATTCACTAGGATTTTATTTTTAATTGTTCAATTCAATAGCATTTCATTTTTTAATTCTTGAATTTATTTTAAAGTATTATATATTTAGATAAAATATATTTCTTATATATTTAATAGATTAAATTTGTACATTAAGATTAAATATGGGCCGTATTAAAAAGATTTATAATAATAAATGTATTTATTACTTAATTATTTAAATGTAATATTTTCGTATTAATATTAATTAATTTGTATATTTAAAAAAATTTAAACAGTATTTAACAAATACTTTCCGTTGTTACCTTTTTGATGTATTTGATTAAATATTTTAAAATAGTCTACCATTCAGCCCTTTTCTCCCTAGAGTATTTACAGCCTCGACTCTCTTGAGGCCGAAGTTTCTGCTTTGGCGTTATAGAGTCATTAAACTTGGCTCGCATTTGACATTGCCAATTGGCAGGGGAAGTGGACGTGGAAGTGGAAGTGAATAGAGACAGCCACAAGTCGAGCCGCGCTAACGCTCCGTGTTCGATCTGTGTTCCATGCATATGTATATTTTGATCAGCGCTAGAGACTCGACTTGAGATTCGCATTTGTTTCTTGGCCCAGGCCTGTCTGCAGTTCGTTCAACTTGTTTGTGCGTACGATTATTGCCAGCACCCCGAAAATATCCAGCTGCGGGGTCTCTCTGTCTTATCTGGCGGGTGCGGGGGGCAGCAGTTCGTTGAAATTGGTGAGGCTATGGGGCGATTGGGGTCTACAATTACCATGAATGAAGTGCTGGTGCATGCCGCAAACAATTCCATGGAATGCCACACGAGTCGCCACATAAACCCAGTCCAAATGCGCAAACAAAAACAAAAGTTCTTTTTGCGGGAGAGCGAAACGTGACAACGGCGGCAGTGGCAGCAGTGACATTCCAATTGCCATTGGCTGCTGCCACGCAGTCGCACTGGCAGTCTGTAGCCTCAAACGACTTGACCACGTACCAGAACCACGAGCCACGAACCACTGGCCACGAACCACGAACCACGAACCGACGCGTCGCCTCCCAAGAGGGGACCCTGAGGCCGGGTCTCTGGTGTGACACCCGAGCACAGCCCTGATTTTCTTTAATTTCAATTTCATTTTGTGCAGACTGTAACTGTAACGAATTCATTTCGGTGGCACGCTAATCGAAGGATCGCCAAAGCGGAACCAAAGGCCAGAAACCAGAACCAGAACCAGACGACATGCTGGCTGGCTGGCTGGCTGGCTGGCTGGCTGGCTGGCGGCCCAATCGACGAGGTATGCGTGACATGCAAATCGCAATTTGCACAGGAGCTGGCGTAGGAGTGCGGCGGTTTCGAAATCAAGAATGGAATGCCTTAATATCGGAACTGGGACAAGGGATATGCAATGGAAATATGTTTAATGAGAGCAGAAACAGTACTTCGGAAGAGTGCTGCCCATCAAAATTCGAAGGAGTGCAGCCCAGCAATGCTAGGAAGAGTGCTGCCCAGAAACGCTAGGAAGAGTGCTGCCAAGGAAAACTGCGAAGAGTGCTGCCCAGAAACGCCAGGAAGTGTGCTGCCAAGGAATACTGCGAAGAGTGCTGCCCATTAGCTCATGGAAGAGGGCTGCCAACAATGGAACACCACTTCGACTGCATCCTACAAGTAACCCGCCAGTTTTACAATGATTCCAGTAGGAATACTCCTTCTTCTTACTCTATTCCCACCATTCCGTAGCTGAAAGCTTCTATCGAAAGGTACTCTCGAATGATAGCCCCTCCATTCGCCACCTTCCACTCCACTTCGGTCGAATGAAGGTGAATAACGTCCATTGTTTCTGGCATACATTTGATGAGTGAAAACTATTTGTACGTCTCTGAATCAAGCGGATTTTGATAAAGTTTTGAAAGTATTTAATCCCTTGCTTAGTCATGGAAACGGGTTTGTCTCCAAGAGCAGCGGCCCGTTACGAGCACAATCCGGTGGCTGGTTTTTTTTTAGCATTTTGCTATCCCTTAGACTTCTGTTGAATTTCGTATGAAAAAAAATTACCAGATCCCACTGAATGACTCAAGTGGAAGTGGCTTGTGTCTTTTGTGGGGCGAGGGCGGCGGTGGTTGGTTTTAAGGGGATTTTTTTTATCAGCATTTTAGCAGATATGCTAAGACAAAAGTTCCCGACTACCCACCGACGACTATGCTGAACAAATGGTTGGATAAGTGGTGCGAATGAATCATTGATGAGCCAAAACTGTGGACTGGAAACGACACTCTTGAGTGAGTAACGAAATGCATTTTCTTGGCTTAATCACAGCCAACAACAGCTGACAAAAGGAGATATCTCCCATACACTGCTTATACGTATACGGAAGGTATAAAGTTCTAGATCTGGCGAGATCCCCCCCCCCCCCCCATATGCGTTTTGAATGCTGTTTTTTCTGTGCACTTGATTCACCCGAAATGAATAACAGATTTTTATTTGTTTTTCCACAAAAAAAAAAAAAACATTGGGGGACTCTTTATCGTTTCAGGGCTCCCTCTCTCCCTCTCTCTCTCTCACTCTGATATTATCAGCTTGGTGCGGTATTTTTTTCGCAGACTTGTCGGAAACTTTTGTCACGAGGAATGACGACTAAATTGTCTGGGATACAGATACGAGACACTCCCCCATTGATAACAGATTAACCATCACGTGAGAAGGCAGTGGAATACGGGTTGTATCTTTTGCCCAGAAAACTCTGGAATTTTAAGGTATCTTTTTTTGCACATTGAAATTATAGAAACCGCAAAAGGGGAGGGGGGGATATTTATGCTGACTATCTGCGGAATTTTTTCCATTTTTGTCCATTTTTGCCAATGTAGGAGGATATTCTGTCTCCAATTTCAAAATATTTTCCCTGCATTACGAAAGTACATATTTCTCTTTGTATTTTTTTTTTTTTTTTTGGTTCTTTGCAACGAAAATATCTTTGATCATATTGCAAAATATTTTGAAATCGTAGAAAAAAACAAAGAGAATGAGCGAACCACTTGAAACGTTGTTGTTGTTCCAGAAAAGAGCCGCTTATCGGTTGGGCCTGACGGAGCATTCCATTCCGGATGCGGAATGCTTACATCCGTTCCATTCCGTTCCGTTCCGCTTTGGCGTCGGTCTGCCCTTCAACTCTAATGCTGTTGCTGTTGCTGTTGCTGATTGCAATAGAAACATGTGCCACACAGCGGGTAGGAGTGACGGGAGCCAGAGTATTATTTCAAGAATTTCATCATCCGTTTCGTGATACGGCAAAAACCGACTCCGCGACGAGTCCCAAAAAGGGAGACCCTTCCTTTCCCTTTGCCCCAAAATAATAAACTCTTTTTGCTTAATGTTTTTTTTTTAGTACAATTTTCATTATTTTATTTCTTTTTAGTTTTTTTTTTTTAGTATTTTTCTGATACTTTTTTTCTTCTCTCTTTCGAATGATCTTTTCTGTGGTTTTTCTTTTAGATCAAAAAAATTCTTGTGTGTTTTGTTTTTCATTTTCTTAGAATCTGTGTTCATTATGTTCTCTATATCACGTGGCCTTACAAATAGTATACTTTTTTTCAAGAGGGGTAAAAAAAAAATTGTAAAAAAAAAACTAGAACTAAATGGGATATATGAGATATATATGTATAACTATATATATATATATGTATATATGTATTGATATATAGATATATTTTATATGTTTTTATGTGTGTGTTTTCGTGGAAGACTTTTTCTGTTTTGCTGTTTTAAAAAAAAGAGAAACCATCGTAATACATGGATGGATGGATCCCATATATGATATATGATATGATATGAGGCAATGTCAACACCCAGAGTGAGGTAGTGTCTGGCGACCTATAGAATACCGCGTAATAATAATAAATAATTTATAACAATGGGCGGTGCAATGGGGCGTGGGGGGATCCCCCAGTCTCTCGCCTTTTCCAGCGAGTGGTAGGGGGGGACCCCCCTGTTTTGATGATGGATCCTGCATGTTCTCGGTGGCACTTCTTGGGCAACATTGGCGTTATCCTGGCGAATGATGTGAAATGTCCTTTTTGCGCATGCCACAACGCCTGCGCATGTGTCTGTGTGTGTGTGTGTATGTGAGGGTGTGTGTTTGTGCAACGCCCATCAGTCTTTAAGCGTAGTGGAGATTCAGGGGGGTGTAAGGGCTGCTCTACCATGGCCTCCAGGGCTGCTCCTCCTCCTTGATCTGCTGCTGCTTCTTGATGACCAGCGACAACGGCTGCGGCTCTGAGGCGCAACGGATCACCGATGGCTTCATGTCCATGGCCTCGTACACCGAGTTGGCCGGACTGGGCGGTGCATAGTGGTGCGTGTGGTGCAGCAGGTGGTGGCTGCTGTTGCTGCTGCAGCTGCTGCTGCTGCCGGGCGCCGACTCGTATCCGGCGGAGGAGTGCGAGCTGGCGGATCCCGTGCTGGCCGTTCGCTGGGGAATCGATACGAGCATCGGTTGTTGCTGCTGTTGCTGCTGCTGCTGTTGCTGCTGCTGCTGGACGACCGCTGCTGCTGCTGCTGCCGCTGCGGCGGCTGCTGCCAGTTGCTGTTGTTGGTGCTGCTGCTGCTGCTGCTGGGACAGGCTCTGGGGCAGGACGAGGGCAATGCTGCCGTTGGGCAGCTTGGTGGGGATCACCTGCATGCCATTGGGCAGAAAATATCCGTTGGCCGTCTGCTGGATCTGTCCGAACAGATGCTGCTGTGGATCCTGTTCTGGGGAGCTGGGCGGCGAGGGCAGCATCTGGGCGTGCACCGACTGCTGCTGTTGCTGCTGCTGCTGGCGCTGCTGCTGGTGCAGCTCCGTCTTGACGCCGTTGATGCAGTTGCTCAGGTGCTGCAGCAGGCGGCGCCGCTGGGCGGGCTCGATGCCGGGGAAGCGGCTCACCTCGTTCACGCAGTCGGCGAAGCCGGCCTTGAATTTGTTGATTATCTTGGGATCGGCGGCCTGCTGCATGGCTGCCTGCTGCCGCTGCAGCTCCTGCAGATGCTTCACTGTCTTCTCCAGGATATCGGCCTTTTCCAATTTCGAATGACGGGCAGGCTAAAAGTAGAGAGAAGAACGGATCGATAAATTAATAAATGTTTTTGCCATAATATAAGTTTATTTTTTTGTTCTTTCTTTTTTTTTTTAATTTTTAATTGTTTTTTTTTTTATCTTTTTGCTGCTTTTGGCGGATACTTACATCTTTTTTGGTGGCATCCAGAATGAGGGTCTTCAGCTCGTTGAGGCAATTGTTGATGCGTGCCCGTCGTCGTTTCTCCATAATGGGCTTGTTCGACTGCAAAGATGAAGAGCAATAAAGGGCCAAGATTAGTCACGGTTCTAGCCAAAAGAAGAGCATCTCGTTTGACCTCATGCAGCGCCTAGTGCGCCCCAAAAATAGGAGGAAGCGAGAAGCTGCATGGGTCTCCTTCGGTTCGGGGAGACGGAGACAAAGAGGGAGACGGAGACGGAGACGCTGGCTGATGGGGTTGACTGGCTGACGGCCAAATCGAGTCGCACGGCGCGTGCTCTATTTATAGTGGCGCTCAAGCACGGCGGCGGCATTGATAAAAATAGTGTTTGGCGGTTATAAATTACAGCCGCAACGAGCCGGCCAATACTATTTATAGAGAGCCCCATCCCCGCACCCCCCACCCCCCACCGCCAGCATTCCGCCATTCCACGCCGCCCGTACAGGTACAAAGTAGTGGCAGTGGCAGGCAACAACAAGGTCATTGCGGGAAATTCGAAGAGGCAAAAGGTAACAAAACAAAAGCTGTTTTCGGTGTGGCCAAATTTGGCCAAGACTGGGGACGCCCGCGTTCCCAGTCGACTACGGATGAAGTCAGCAGCCAAAAACGGAGGCTCTGCCCCCCCACACACACACACGGGGCGACTGGCGGCTGGCGGCTGATGACCGACAATTGCAGCAACCAGCAACCACGCGACGCACGCGCTCTTTTTTTGGGGGGCGAGTGGGCAGCGGCAGCAGCCAATTTTGGGTGGCACTCATGAATGAGTGTGCGGCTGGCTCCGGCATGAATGGGGAACGGGCATGGGCATGGGAATGGGAATGGGAATGGAGCTGCTGCTCTGAACGTAAATGCCACCAACGCGCGTGTGCCCCCCGAGAGACAGATTCGATACGCGTTTTGTGTGTTGGCTGCTGTCGCTGCTGCTGCTTATGGCTGTTTCTGTTTCTGTTTCGGTTTCTGGCCATGTGGGAGACGCGGCCAAAAAGGAAATGCATTTGGGCAGCCGCCAGGGCATAGTGGGCGATGCTAAGCGAGCGGCTCTGGTGGGTGTCGGTGTCGTTGTCGGTGTCGTCTCCCAATTAACAGAATCTCTCAAAATGTAATCCACGCCAAAGAACGTTTCTCTCTTTTTTGGTTGGGGCAAAGGGGGGGTGGTAGACACTTACCCGACGATCACTTTTGAGTGGCGTCTCCTTGTGCTGCTGCTGCTGCTGCTGCTGCGTCTGTGCTGGCACCACAGCGGTGCCCATTACATTGGCTGTCATGTTGGCTGCAGTTACGCCGGTAACCATTTCGGTTAGATACTTTTTATTGAGTTTGAGGCACAGTTTGGTTCTGTTTATTTGTTTTGTGCTTGTTTCACTTTTGGCAGAAATCAAATCTGCTCTGATTTTTGGTTGCTTTTTGGTTTAAGCAGTTTTCAAAGTTCACAAAGAGAAAAAAATGTCTCACTTTTCACGTAAAAACGCTTTGGCTCTCGGACTCTCTACTCTCGGCTACTCTACGGTTTTTGTGTAGTGCTGTTGTTTGTCCGTGTTCTACTGCGACCGTGTGTTCCGCGCGGTACGAGTGACGGTTGGCGAATGAGTTCCAGGTTCTGAGTGCAGGCCGATTAAAAGACCAACACCAGACGCTCGCTTCGGA